GCACGCTAATGACACCATAAATTATGCGCAGTAAGGATGCGCAATGCAAATGTGATGAATGACCTTAAAGCTTTTTTCCTTTATACAGTCTGCTTTGTAACAGTCATACATGAAAGGAACTGTACCGGTAAACTTCATGTTATGCATCTGCCCTGTCTGAAAGGACCATCAGTTACTGTTCAAATGTATTTTTTTAACCATCCAAAAGTAACAGCTACCTGAAAGTAGCGGCTCCTTTTGCCTGCTAAATCCGAAAGTAACAGGGCTGTTACTTTCGGAATTGTTCAATAAGCACCTATATTCTAATACATGTAAGTACATAATTTCCAAACCAGTACTACCATCACAAAGGACATAGACACAGAACAGCTGATAAGATGAGTGAATTATGTCATCTGCTTTCATAATATTAAACATAGTGAACTGGAATAAACAAGAGAGAAGTCTCTGGTTACATTTTGTGAGCTACACTATCTTTTGTTGCTCATTTCAATGGACTGTTGTTTAGGCTAAAAGTGTCCATCCCTAATAAGTGGCCCTTTTCCTATAAGCAGCCTGTCTTGTAGAGTCAGAGTCCAAAATTCCCCAAATTGAGTGTTTTCCAAATTGGACTCATAGTCCAACATCTGAGTGAGACCTTGCTAACAATTTTTTCCAAACTGTTTAAATAGGAAAGATATGTGAAAAAAATAAAAAGTTTGTTTATGAATCTAGTGGCATAATATACTGCAACACTCAATTCTCTCAATAGAAACAGTGCAAATATATTGTAATGTCACACTAAGCTGAGAATCATCTGTTATTTTTTCGTAAATAATGTATAAATCATCATCAATGTATAATGTTTTATAATTCTCTGTTTACATTTATTTCTAGCTTAGGGAACTGAATTGTTTTGGGTCAAACTATCAACTGAGAGAGTTGTATCTGCAAGACAACATGTTGGTAGAGCTGAATGGCTCTTTGCGCCACTTGACTTGCCTTCAGGTGTTATTGCTGAATGGAAACCAGCTGGTAAAACTCACTGATGTTGTTCATGAGTTGAGAGCCATGCAATGCCTCAAAACACTCAGTACGTGTTAAAGTTTTCAGTGATTTAAAGTTTGGTAAAGTTACATGTATCTACCATTGAAAAATGGCAAAGGTTTAAAGACCAAGAATTGGTATGTAATACCTTTTTACCCTTAGTTACTTTGTTGTTTGTTTCATCCACACAGTGGCACACAGCATTTTGAGTTTCTATGCACATAATCCAAAAATCTTGGAATTATAATTAACTTTAAACTTTCTTTCATCAAAATCTGTACTAATAGATTACTCTTCAGCTACAGACAATTTACGTCTTCTCAATATTTGTATTAGATCTGTTTGCTAATCCACTGGCTCAAGATTATGACTACAGGAGTTACATAATACACCATGTGCCCTCAGTTGACTTGCTAGACAGGAAAGGTAAAGGACATATCATATCATGTATTTGTGTTTATTTCTGTGTCATCCTCATACATGTAGTGGCAATGGAAGCGGTCAAATTGTCCCATAATAACTTTGACCTTGTTAGTGGAGAGTGCACCAGGGGATTGCCATCTCTAAAACGACTAACCCACTAAAGCTCAAAAAGGAATGAGGAAAAGTTTTAAACTTAAATGGTTGTTTATCAAAAATAGGTTTAGCAAGTAATTAATTGTTGTAAATGGGTTGGGGTTGGGCCCAGTGGGGGTCATCTGTGTAAAAAGGATGGGGGTGCTCGTTGTACCTTGGGGGCCAAAAAATAAGTTTTGGTACCTCTTAGGGTGTTCAGCCTCAAAAGGTCCAGAGCAGGAGCTTTTGTGGGTCCTTTTAGGGTATGAAGCCCAAATAAAATATGACAGAAGGTATTTGATAGTCAACTTAATGAGTAGAAGGTATTCAAAGCAACCGTCTTTATCACTATTAAAAATTATGAAAGTGTGACTGTCACTGAATGAGTTGTTTTAGAATTGCTACCTCTTTACTTAGAGGTGAAAGATTTCAAGCCACACCCGCAAAAACAGGATCTTGGTACCTCTAAGGGANCCCCCCCCCCACCTACTTAGAGCAGAGCAGAGCACTACGGAAAACGTGTTGTACCCATCTTACTTCTTTAATTGGTAAATGTGCTTTCCCTGGACAATTGGATATTAAATTAATTCTTGTTTCTCGGAAAACACAAGTATTGTGTTACATACCTTTGCAAGAATCAAACATATCAAGTTACAGATGTTGGTGTGAAAAATATAATTACTGCTTCAAACCATTGATGCCTGTGCAGGCTGTAACCAGCCGTGAAGAACGTTGGCCTTTGTTCTACTTCTGACGTCATCATATCTGACCAAAATTGCCGTTATCTATACTCAAGTTCTGCAGGAAGAAAAGATCTTTCCAATGATACCCAGATCAGAGTGATCAGCTCAATGGAGCCTGAACCATGCACGAAAATGCTCAGAAATTTGAGGGAAAAACTCGCAGCAAAATTTCCTGCGACTACACGTGGCTACTCTATGGTAAAAGTTGCCCGTCTCGATGATGCCTTCTCGGAAATTTTTGAACTGGAAGCAAGCTCAGTAGAAGATCAATCACTGCAGCAAAAAATATAAGAAAAGGACAAAGAGGAAAGGCCAAAAAAATTAAAAAGCCGAAAAAAGACGTAGGGTCACTTTCACATCCAAAAACTCGAAATTTTGATTTCTGCACATGCACAGGCAAAAAATAATGCGGCAAAATGCGATGCTAGTGGAAAGAAAGGCATGCTGTCATGTTGCAAATGCCTGTTTGGGTAGATTGGAGCTAGGTTGGCTCATATCCTGGCTGAAAATCTCCAAAATGTCTAAAAAATGTGTTTTTTGCAAAAAGCTCCGGGAGTCAATGGGTTAAGATATTGAATTTACATTTAAAATGAATGCAGAACATCACAGTAAAATTAAGGGATCATGTGTACTAAGAGCATCTGAAGTCGAGTGTCAATTGATACCCTCCATCGACACTCAATCGACACTTGATGGGCATCTCAATTGATTCTTGGTCAACACTTGATTGACATCTCAGTCGGTCTATGGTCAAGTAATTTTCGCAGATACGCCATCGAGTGTTGATGGATACATACGAATCGGTCAACACTTCGCCAACTATCAATCAACTGCTGATCAAGTGTCGATCGAGTGTTGATTAAGATGCCAATCAAGTGTCAGCCTAGTGTCAACCGAGTATTGATTGAGATATTGATTGAGTGCCAATTGAGATGTTGATCAAGCATTGAGCAAGTGTTGATCGAAAATGATCCAAATTGAGAGCTGTCTTGACGAAAGTTTTCAGTATTTTTGTGACTGGAACGAAAATACACACTGCTTAGCATAGGCGTATGGACAGGGGGTGAGGGGAGGCCCTGCACCCTTAGTTGCAGAAATTTTTGATGTCGTTTGGGCCAAACGCTCGTGATTCAGGCAGCAATACTTTGGCTTGTGGCTACTCACTCACATGTTTGCCTTGCCAAAACGGACTTAAAGTCAAGTGATATAAGGGATCTAGGTATTCTGTTTTGGAAAAGCCAAATATCGGTTAAATGTGTATCATTGAAACTCACAATAATGAAAATGGATATTATTTCCATTCCCAATTTTCCATCAACAAACCAATGACAAAAGAATCAAAGTCAAAAACAATGACAAGAGAATCAAAGGGAACGAAGTGAAAACCAGAGGAAGACAAGCAATGCATAAACAATAATACATATTTAGTGCAGAGTGCACTATTCAGGAATGGTTTAGGGGGCTGCTGTTCGCTAAGGCACTAAGGTAATAACAGACTAACGCAATAAGGTGTAAACTTTAATGTTTGTTTAATTAATTAATTTTAATTAATTATTGTGGCGATTAAGTCCCAGCAAGAGGGGAACTCGACATAAGCTTCTTCAAAGCTACACGAAGCTGCACGTCTCCTGGCCTAGCAAATTACCCTGGCTAGTCGAGAGTTGCGATAATGCTTTTGTCCCCAAATATACGAGAGACTTGTTATGAGCATTTCCAGTACAAACTATATCCATAGAGAGAATCCAACAGAGAGAAGTCAACTCTGTAGAGACAACACCCAACAGTCACAAAATGACGAACAACAGCTCGCCATGTGCTTTGTCATATGACTATTTTCAGAATCGAGCAGTTTCCGAACGAAATAATCTAATTACTAGTACTCAAAAGTGTTCTTATAGACATAGTTTTTAAGGAAAAAAACGATACAACAAGAACGCTTACCTTAGCTTCCAGATGACACGACATTCACATTTCATTCCTCCGGGTGACATTAAAACATTTTTAAGCAATTCCGTTGATTCGTCCAGTCGGACCACGGTAAATATAAGCTTACATCGTAGCTTTTAAGATTTCGATGCAAGTATCATCACTTATAGGATTTCATCGTCGAATTGTCGCAGCAAGTGTTCCTTAGCGTAATAACTTCCCATTTTTCAACCCATGAAGGAATCCCTGTTTACAAATCGAACAAAAAAACATCTTCGACCTTCGTGCTGTGTTACGCCATTGTTGAACAAAAATTCATTTTTACATCTTTCTAGTACCCCCATAAAACCTGCCAAACATATGCGCTGAAGTCTTTGGGACAAAGAAATACTTAGCAGGGGAGGAAGGAGAAAAAATGTTTAATCTAACTTTAATGAATAAATTAATCAGAATGGAGTGAGTGAGTGAGTGAGTGAGTGCCATTGAACTACCTTCTAAGCTCATGGAAGACTACGTCATCCATGAGCAAAAATGGAGAACTGACATTACCTGAAATACAGCTGCTATCCCTGGTCAGAATAGTCCACTTCTGGCCCTATCTCTGTCAAGCAACGTTACGGTAGCATTGCGTGACATAGAGATGGAGGAACTGGACTAGTGGTCGACACTGAAGGCTAACTTATCTGCGCATGCGTTTCAAGCAAATTGCTTTTGTTCTTAAGAGAATAACACAAGGATAGCAAGAGATTTGCGAAAACATAAATAGCTTTCTCATGTTTTCAAGAAACCAGCATAAGTATGACACGTTTTGCGTAGTACACTTGGGTACCTACCCCTCTATGACAAGCTGTTTGTAGCAAAATTTAATCCTTGCAATATATGTTTAATCCTTCAAATAATGGTTTTACTTAAAGATGTAAAAAGGCATTCAATCCAATCATAAAGAAACTTTTTGGTTCAATTCAATCTCTTAATTTTTATGATTCAATCCAATGCCTGCAATATTGATTCAGTCCAGTACCTGCAATATTAATTCAATCCAATACCTTAAAAATTTATATTTAATCCTGTTTCCGGTTTTGTTCAATCTTCCTGGGCCAAGCGCGGCCAACAGGAATGAGAGTAACTGAGCACTAGAGAGCACTGAAAACATGGCGGGCAAAGAAGAACTAGATCTGTTGAGTTGAGTTTCCTAAGTTTCTTGCTGACATCTTGGATAAAACGGAAATACTTTTTTGAGAATTTTGATTCAGAAGTTGCAGAAGCGCACGCCGAAGTTCTTGATCAAGCCATTAGTCTGCTTAGGTCAATGAGGCAATGCTACAACCTAGACACAAGGGACACAGAAAAAATCAGAAGTGTAACAGCTCTCGTAAGCTTGTAATTCTCTTCATTGTTAGCAGCTATTATTCTTTTAGGGCTAGGGGCGTTGTTTCTGTTATTTGTTCTATTGTTCTCTCAAAGTTTAGCAAGCCATTCATGTGAGTCAGAGACACGAGAGCTGCTACATCACCCGAAAATTTAGATTCCATTGCTACCGCTTTTGTAGATATGTTCAGTGTGTTGCGTCGCAGAACTATTTACTCCGTGAACTGTTACTGTGGACTCTGTTATCATAGAAAGCGAAAAAGGAGGAAATCGTGGAGGAAATTTCTTAAAATTCCTGCTAAGGGGCTTGAGGAACTTCGAGGACTAGGATTCATCTGGAACAGCCAATCAAATTTCTTGTTGTAAAGGTAAATGGTATGCGAGAAGATTTGATCCTGATACAGTTTAAAACGGCCATATTTATTCTTCTATCAAAGAGGAATTATTCATATATTGGGCTTACTTCGACATTTTCTGTGGGTTAGGCTGAGGAGTTTAGTTATGAACGAGATCAGCCTTGAGTTTTGAAACAGTTCATGAGCTAGTAGTATGCAAATGGAACGAGATATTTTTATTTTTAGTTACAAAGGTAACTTGATACTTTTGTTTTTCACAAGGACTAAATTCAATTGAAGGTCACGAATAGTCGCTTCTAGTTCTTAGCACGTTTTAAAGGAGATGAAACTATTTAGATTTGAAACACTTCTAATGTTTACAATAGTAAGTGCAGGTAACGATTGTTTTGTTCTTGTTGCATGTAAATATAACGAGATATTTTTATCTTTTAGTAACAAAGGGTAATCTGACACTCTTGTTTTTCACAAGGGAGTAAATTCAATCACAGCTGACGAATCGTCACTACTTGTTCCCACCAGATGTTTGCTATCTTTAGTTACAAATGGTAACTTAACACTTTTGTTTTTTATATGGGAGTAAATTCAATTAGAGCTGACAAGTTATTGGCTATTATTTCCAGGATATTAAACGAAAATGAAGCTTTCATTTCAGGACGGTTTTTACATCTCTGCAGTAGCAGTTTAACATTTTTATTCGATGGGCATTTTATGACATTCTTCTAAAGGTAAAAATTAATTATGACAACTGTTCAAATGTTATTTGAAGACTGCGTGGCACCAAGTTAAAGTGCAATTGAATTAAATCAGACTTTCAACGTGTCAGAGAGG